CAGTGTGGTTTGACTTTTTTGAAACAGGTTCTTGCACTGTTGCCAGGGCTAGTGTGCCCAGTGCAATCACAGCTCACAGCAACCTCAAAGTCCTGGGCTCAGATGATCCTTCTGCCTCAGCCTCTTAAGTAGCTTGGACTACAGGCATGTACTACCACACCCGGCTAGCTTGTTTAAATTTTTTGTAAAATAGGGGTATCACTATGTTGACTGGGCTAGTCTTGAATTCCTGGCCTCTAAACAATCCTCCCACCTTGGCCTTCCGAAGTGCTAGGATTATAAGTGTGAGCCACCAAAGCTGGCCTACTTATCTTTTTATTTGTAGGAATTTATGGGGTATATGTGAAATTTTGTTACATGTATATAACATATAGTGGTCAAGTCCATTGTGATAGCTCTGAGAGATCAATGTTTTTGCTTAGACAACCTAAATTACTGTCAGTTTTACTACATGCAAAAAACTTACTGCTAAGATGTTGATAACATACATATACAGAGGATGCCAAAAAAAGTATACATATTTTAAGAAAGGAAAAAACTGTGTTGTCATTGTAATATTCAAGTCATGTTTAACTTTTGCAGCTACAAGACATACAAGATACGATGTACATGATAATAAATGTTATTGGTATATATTGAGTATTACAATGTTAATATAGTTTTTTCCTGTTCTTAAAATGTGTATACATTTTTTTCACCTCTGTATACACACACACACTCACACAATACTATAAATATGTATATATAGTATTATTAGCCTGTAACTGCAAATTAATATCCAGAAGACCCTCTGGAGTTGTTTATAAAGGAGCTAATTTACTGCAGCATAGATCAGGGGAGTGAGCCTGGGAGGTCAGGGGTTACTGCCTGTGAGTATTCTCAGACTGCTGCCATGGTGCAGACACAATGATCAGCCCAGTACTGCCAATGTGTACAGAATTATAAGAAATAGAATAATTCTTTATAATCTCAAGAAGATATAAATATAACAGTGTATCATTTTAAATATAAATTCACTATATTGGTCTATAACGAAGCATCTAATAGTGAGGGAGAACTATAAAGCAATTTTATGTTTTTGATGAAGCCATCATCAGGATTTTGGGTTTTTTTTTTTTTTTTTTTGAGACAAAGTCTTACTCTGTCTCCTGGGCTATAGTGATATCATCACAGCTCACTGTAACCTCAAATTCCTGGGCTCAAGTGATCTCCCTGCCTCAGCCTCCTGAGGAGCTGAGACTGCTGGTATGTGTCCTGACACTGGGCTGATCCATTATCAGGATTTTTAAAAGGTAGAATTACTGTGAGATGAATTACTGGTAGAATTACTATGATGTAAACTATTGGAACTGTTTTTATATAAGTACACTGAGTCTTGCATATCCACCACATGAATGTGGTGTTGTGGCATGCACAGATTTATTCTTCACTGAACTTGTGTTTACTGAGCACATGCTATGTACTGTGTGCTGTGTGCTGTTTTGGGGTCCAATGACATGACAAGTATCTTCACCATCATAGAGCTTACATTCCAGCAGAGGAGATACAGATAGTAAGTAATAAAGATAATGTGCCTGCGAATTATAACATATTTGAGAAGGAAGAGTAGAGCGGAGTCAGGAAGATCCAGAGAGCCACAGTGTGTGTGATTTTATACAGGGTGAGGCAGGCTGCCTGGGAGTGTGTCGTTTGAATGGAGATTTGATGAGTCAAGGGAATTAACCAAGGAAAAGAATGCACCCAAATGCCCAATGCTAAGAATCCCCAAATGCTAGGATTACATGCGTGAGCCACTGTGTCTGGCTCAAAACTAAATTAATGATACAGGATGTTATACATTTGGCTCTAAGGACAGATTCAAAGTGAAACTGTCAAAATATTTTGAGCAATGCCATCATCATTAGAATAAGTGCTTTCTTTCTCAAGGAGATATATTTTAAAAAATTATTATCAATTAATTTTCTAATCAACAAAGAATTATCTATATTTATTGTGTGCAACTTGCTTTGAAGTGTATGCCATTGCAGAATGGCTAAATCAAGCTAATTAACATGCACTACTTCATATCCTTAACAACTTTTTTATGGTGAGAACACTTATAATTTGCTCTCTTAGCATTTGCCAAGAATACAATACAGTCACCTATATTGTAGTGACTGTAGTAACCATGTTGTACAGTAGATAATTAATAGATCTCTTAAAATTATTATTCAAGGAGACAAATTTGAGGGGGAGTGCTTATAAAGGTGCATGAATTTGCATGCTAGTTTAAATCATCCTTATTTCTTATTTCCTGGGCTATACCTGCCTAGAAATTAAAATTCTCTAAATGGCTTAAGTGTTCACTCTAGCTAGCATGTCAAGACTTCCTTTATAGGCTTGGCACCTGAAGCCCAGGTGCGTGCACCAGCCACATACACCAAGGGTGGAAGGTTTGAATAATGCATTTGTGGCAATGCATTTGTGGCAACTGCAACAAAAAATAGCTGGGTGTTGTGGCAGG